CAGACCCCCCGGCGCCTGCCGGGAGCGAAGCTGCTGGCCCAGCTGGCCTCGAGTCGTCGTGCGGCCAGGGACTGTCACCGACTTTGTCCCCTGACTCCAGCTCTGTCTGCCTCGCATCTCCTGATGGAGCAACAGACCCGGGGGCCGCTCCCGAGGAGCAGGAGGGCATGGCAAGCATCCAGTCTTCATCCCAGGGCGACCTGGGAGGGAGCAGCTGCCTTTCCCGAAGGTGTGGAGGCGACGTTTATGCCGACCTCACTTTTCTGAGCACTGGTGAATCAAACCAAGAAGGGAACAAGGTTTTGGTGGAAGAACAGCCTAGCAGCCCTTCTGCCAACCACACAGACGTGCTGGATGAGTCCTCGGGAGCGGGTGATGGGCAGGGCTTTGCCTTCGACTGTACGGCCTTAGCAGGTGACTCTGAAGCTGGGGAGAGCGATGCTGTGTGCCTCAGCGCAGAGAAGTCCCCCGGGAGCGACAAAACTAACACAGCGATGGTGGCTAACGCACCGCAGGAGCCGGAGACCCCTCTTCATCACCTCCTGCAATCGGAGCCCTCCTCCTCGGTGGCACAGGAGGTGTCTGCCATGAAGGAGCATCCCGAGCAGCAGCAGAGCTCCCCAGACAGCCTGTCCCCACCTGCCCACGCAGGCTCGGCTCCTGCATCTCCCCACCAGCAGGACCCTCTCCCCCGTGGCGGAGACGCAGACCCCCCCCACCACTTGTTAGAGCGGAAGGAGCAGGGTCCAGCCCTGTGCCCAAACGGGAAGCCCTGCGAGCAGGTAGGTGCTGCAGCAGTGAGTGTGGCTGCTGAGAGGCTGGATGGCTCCTTAAAGCCCAGATGTGCAGAAGAGGTGAAAAAAGACATGGGTCCGTGCCATGCAGAGCCAGCGGCGAGCTCCCCCGCAGATGTGCTTGTGCCAGGTGACGCGGGATCGATGCCTTCTCCTCCTCTGCATGGTCACAAGGCAGGTCTGCACGGTGCCGAGCCGGACTCGGTCCTCAGTGTGCACCCCGAGACGCTCTCTCCTGGCACGAGTCTGGCTCCGGATGGTGACCCGTGGTCCTGCTGCGTGGGCACCTGCTCTGGGTGTGCCAGCCCTGGGGACCAAGCAGCAGATGTGGTAGGGAGCCGTGAGGAGGAACCCGTCCTGCCTGAGGGTTCAGGAGGAAGCAGTGTTCCTCTTGCCAGTCCTGCGTCATCTTCAGCAGGGGAGTTGCTCCTGCCGCCGTGTGAGCCCCAGTCTGTGTGCAGCCGGGGTGAGCACGAGGACGAGGGATCCGATACGTTTGCTGATCTGCATCGTGCCGGTGTGGAGGTGGGAGAGGGAGAAATCCCCACTCTCCCCTTCCCCATGTCACCTTTACATGCACACAGGGGGCTCTCTGGAGAAAGCCTGGAGCTTAGCGACGCTGAGGATATTTCAGATGTGCTCCTGAGGGCAGAGAAGCTCTGCAACAAAGACAGACACACGGGCTTGACCTTTGAAGATCTGTCTGAGTCTTTTTCCAGCGACTCAGACCAGGAGTGTTTTGGGGGGACTTCACAGTCCCTGCTTATGGCCAGAGGTTCCTACAGCGTGAGATCCATGGATGCCGCAGGCACGAGGACTCGCTGCGACTCCTCCTCCGTCAGCTCGGTGCACACGGAGGGGAGCAGCAAGGACTGGGGCTCGGAGCCGGAGCGGTGGTGGCCGATCGGCCCGGGGGAATCTGGCAGCGGTCACGTTCCACCGTATGTCAGTATTAGGGACAGCCAGGGGATCGCCAAGGACTACCAGAACTTCACAGTCACCAAAAGGTACCAGGAGAGGATGGGAAATTTGCAGCTTTCGAAGAGGCGCAGCTGCTGTGCTGGGCAGTCTCATTTGTTGAGGTCACTGAGAGGGACTTGGAGGGGTTTTGAGGAAATCACACAGCACACTTTGAACATGGAGTGTCTCCGTTTCCACTATAAGCTAAAACAAATCCTAAGGAGTGGGAAACCACCCTTTTCTACCTCCAAAAGCATCTTTCCAAAAGACTTTTTTCCCCAGGTGATGTCCGAGACATTGCCTGTGCAAGAAGCTCCCATCCCACCCTCCCCACGGAGCAGGAGCCCTTTGGGCCCTGCCCCCGGACACGTGGCCGAGCGGGCTCGGCTGCCACCGGCGAAGAGACTGGCGCAGGGACCCGTGTACCCCATGGCGGGACACCCTCTGCGATGAGAGGAGCAGAACCAGATCCCGAACCGCCAGCTGGGGCTGCGCGGCTCCCTTCCACCTCAGCAAGCTCAAATATGATAATAAGCTAAAGGACTCGCGGGGGGACATCGGCATCATCCTCGACGAGTACGCTGAGCTCAACAGGGTGATGCTGAGCAGGGCTGATGTGGGGACCGAGGGCCAAGGGCCGGTCCCGGCGCACAGGGACGCTGCGAGCGAGCGGTCGTGCGCGTCCCTCCCCGGGAGGATGGCCGCCTTCGAGGAGATGATCCCAGACCTGTGCAGCACGCTGCGTTTCCACCTGCGCAGCGTGGCCAAGGAGGCCTGCGGCCGCGCCGGCATGTTCTACCTGGTGGAGACGGGCAAGGACCCTTTCTTTGCAAGAGTGAAGGTAATGGCAGGTCCTGTGGCCCTGGACAGGGATGGGTGGCTCCGGGGTGAGAGCTGAGGGTGGCGGCAGCAGGCACAGGGCAGGCTTGCTCAACCCGGCATGGATGGTGTCCCATTCTATGCTTACAAATATCTGAAGGGTGGCTGTCAGGAGGATGGGGCCAAGCTCTTTGCAGTGGTGCCCAGCGACAGGACAAGGGGCAATGGGCACAAACTGAAGCACAGGAAGTTCCA